TGTTTAACCCGCCTCTTGAGGGTCAAAAGGTTATCCGACACTTACTCTTCGCATGTCAGCCGAAAGTACATTTCATGGCCCTTTCAATAAAGACATAAAAATGCTAGGTCACCGCTGAAACAAAAAAGTTTTTCAATCGCTCCGTCAGACCATGTCCTCAGAAAATGTCTAAAATCTGTCCTGTGCCCATTGACCTTTGACCTGTGACTTACAATTTCGGCACAGTGATGGCTTTTCCTATCATGATGCTATACACCGACTATAACGAGTCTAGGTCGAGCCGTTTAGATTTGTGCCGCAATTCTGCATTTCCTCCCTATACCTTAAGTTAAGGAGGGAATGTTCCCCCTTCTTTTACACCTCTTGACCTTTGACCTTTGACCCCCAGCTTCGACATCCCAACTCGTTTTCGGATTACCCCCCACGTCCCGAATATCGTGACCGTACGTCGAGCGGTTTAGATTTGTGCCCAACTGTTGACGCACGCACGGACGGACGGACGGACGATCATGCGATTCTACAATTTAAGCTGCATCTGACTACGTCAGATGAGCTAATTATTCCGAGTTGTAATCACAGAGAAATATCCATTTATACATCGACTACTAAGTCAGCAATTGGAACGGAGAAATCAGCGTTTTTCTGACGTCAGCCGCGGCTCACTACATATGTACGCGGGCAAGCAAAACGCTCTGACAGTTTACATGTACCGTTATATGGAGAAATGAGCATGTACACAGGTGGCACATAGTGTTAGTCATCGAATAAAGTTGAAAATGAAAAATCGGTAAAAATTTCCCTAAAACCTTGAGAGTATCCTTAATATCTACTTCAGATTTCCTTTTTTCTGTCTTCTATAAATAATTTACGTGACTTTATGAGAGTTCAAAGATCGTTCATGACAAAATTAGAATAAGAGCGAGCACGAGCAATTATCTCATAATGCTGATAATGACACATATTCGACGGTTTTTTTAATTGAAATTTCTCGAACGGTTTTTTGCGAGAGGTTATCCAAACTTCCGTTTGTTACAGCACTTGTAATTTTTCACAGAAAAACGTCTGAAGCAATTATAAATTATAAATTAAAAAACAAAACAAATAAATTTCGTTCCGAAAGAAAGCACGCTTGGAGCAAGCAAGCAGAGCAAGGAAGCAAGAGTCGATGTCTTTTTCTTGATTGTTCGGATGGTAAAGAGTAGATGCTTCTGCAAGAGAGGTTCAATCGCACGTATCTAGTGTGAAATCCGTGTCCTCTGCAACACGTGTCGATGCATGGATCGTCATGTGTTGTTTGCTGAGCCGCGGGCTGGCGTGCGAACGACCCCCACGCGCGAGCACACGCACCTGCTCGCGTTGCGTAACAAGCGAGTATTATTTCTACGCAGTCGTCTTTCGCGCGCATTAACTAATAACTTCGCAGTCGTCTTAACGCTCGTCTATGCGCCGTCTACTGGGTGAGGCAGGAAAACGCGATAGGCCACCTGGATGCATCCGAACAATCGCTAAGCTGCGTCGGTGCAGCGTAGAATACACCCCCACCCCACCCCGCCGCGCTCATTCTGAACGTACCCCTTCTACATTGCGCGTGGGCGATAAAGGTGAAATCCGAGTCACAGCCTTGTCAAGTCCCCGCTAGACCATGTCGATGTAGAATGGGGGCATTCGCCATGGGGTATATATATATATATATATATATATATATGTATATATGTGCATATTGTGTGTGTGTGTGTGTGTGTGTGTGTGTGTGTGTGTGTGTGTGTGTGTGTGTGTGTGTGTGTGTGTGTGTGTGTGTGTGTGTGTGTGTGTGTGTGTGTGTGTGTGTGTGTNAAGGCGAAGTCCTCTAGGCCTACTCTTAGCAACAGACATGCACAGCCGCCGTATTTGCCCCATACGTGCGGACTTCGGGGCCTGAGGTCCTGGTGCTTCGGAGGCCTTCGTATCGGAGGTCGAATATCAGTACCGTACTTGCATATGCACACACTGTACTTATACTGCCACTACGCACGCGCACGCACCGGCTTAAGTACGCGGCAGCACGCAGAGCCTAATAGCACGCTGATAACGCAGCAGCCGGGATACCGGACCGTACCAAGGTACGTTCCATGCGCGTAGCCAAGGGGGGGGCGCTTCGCCCCCCCTTCCACAAAACGCCGGATCGCAAAAAAAGAAGAAGAAGAAAGAAGATGAAAATAAGTAAGAGGACGTAGGGTATAGGCAAAAAGGAGCATTGGCAAGACACATGACAAGACTGTGAATTAAAAGATTATAAAGAAAACAACAGATAATGCTTTTAATTATTTAAAAATTATTTTGTGAAAAATGAGCTTGAGTCCAGCGCAGTTCGCCGTTTCATCCAGCCCTCGTGCCACCCCTAACATCATCATGGAAGCGTACCCTACACGAATAATTCATGACTATTGAGCGTCTCCAAGGATATTTTGTGCTCACGCAGGGTGGGTTCTCTTACGTGCTACTTGTTTTATTCTTATTTCTTTAGCCCTTAGCCTATAACTTATTCTATGATCCTGCTAGCAATTATGGAAATCTTATGATGAAATGCTGAATTGTTTGGTGCATTGGTTGATTTTAAACGTCAATATACTTATCAACAAGATCTCCGATGCATTGATGCTCTTTCTTAAGATATTCCTAAACCCAGAAATCGAAATCTTGTTTTAACAATAAATCAATATTATTTGAAAATGTTAGGATTAAGGTCGAGAACGCCGTACAACGAATTGTCTTCTTTCTCTCAATTAATTTAATGAACGTCAGAGCTCCCTGCCAACTCAACCACCCCTAGGAATGCGCGCTCCGGGCCTCTTTAAGGTGATTCGCACCAGTCGCGGCGTAAATCCCGCTGGGTGGAATGGGGGGGAAGCATCCCCTCCGCTCTGAAGGAGGGGGGGGGATGGACCTGCTACAAAATATCCCCTCCTAAGTTCAAAAAAAGAAAAGAAATAAATAGAAAAGAAGTTAACGGAAGAAGAAAAGAACAACTATAATTGACGGAAGTTCCGATAATTCAAAAATTCTTTGAGCACTAATGCAGAGTATAAATCGAGTTTTCTGTGTGGTTAATAATGGTATGCTTCAAAAGCTGTATCGTAGGCCGCAATCTTACAAGTACTCAAAAATTTCAGTGTAGACTCCGTCTCTCGTGGCCCAGCTAGGGCCATCATTGCAAGACAGATCTTTTCTAAGTGGCGGCACGGAGGAAGTTTGAGGAGCGTGCGCGAAGCATATAGTCTCTCAAAAGTACAGTGCTATGCGGCGGTGCAGGTGGTAATTACCACACGGCAATATATTCAGCCTTCTTTGCAGCGCAGTATATGAGAATTGTCTTGTCTTGTACGCAGTAACTGGAGATTTACGGGATTATTTAAGTTGAACGACGAATGTGCCTTTGAGGGGGTGGCAGACCATGCCAAAAAACGGTCTTCAAGAAAATGTTTCCAGACTCACAAATAGCCATAAAAGTATGGTGTGGCAATAGCATACTCTCAGAATAAGTAGCACTCGTGGAAATGTGGAGCAAATTGCAATTCTTACCTGTTGTGTTAAACATGTATTATTACTAGGAGTGAGCTAACTCGTTGTACGGCTCCTTCTGAAAATAATGAAAAGTGTTTTGAAGGCGGCAAGCTTGTAAGGGTGAGCTCTAGGGTTGAGTAAATAGTGTCATTAGACATGTGAGGGTGATACTATGGCTCCCACATGTGGTATGCTGCTCAGATTGTGCAGTGAGGTTCATATGGGCTTGATATATATTCATCAAATTTTCATTGGGGGGGTTATACTCTCCATGAGCCCCCTCAAGCATTCTTGGCATTGTTTTACTTCATGGGCCTTACTAGTCAGTCCCTGTGCCATTAACTGTTATGACTTTTGTTCAACCTTGGCATATGTGTTTGCGTGTGGTCAACTGGTTGTCAGTTATGGGGCAGTTTGATTAAATCTATGTAGCGTGTGTTTGTGTGTGTGGCTGTTTGTGTTTGTTCGTTGTGTGTGTATGGTGGTGTGTCGGCTTGTGTAGTGTGGTGTGTGTTATTGTGTGGTTTGTGTGTTTTCTGTGGCTGGTTGGGCTCAGGAATAGGTGGTTGGTGATTTGTACTGGAAGAATATTTGTTTGTTTTTTCGACATGGGCTTGTGCTTCGTGCTAGCTACTGTGATGGCTAATCGCCGCATCATCCCCCCCCCCCAGCTTCTTCGGTACCGGATTTACGCCCCTGATTGTCGCACACTTCCAGCTGCTTCATTGCCGCCGCCCCCCGCCGCCACCCCGCCCCCGCCCCCAACCTAAATATAAAATCCTAGCCTTACTCGCCTCCGGGTACGTCTCTGGCACAAGTTACCCTGGGGAGACATAAGAACCCTAGTGAGACGGTTATGCTTATGGATCTTTATATGTTTATATAGTTCTCTTTTATTATTTTGTAGTTGAGGTTTGCACTTTCAGTTCTTGAAGTCTTTTTAATAATAAATTAGTTGATGTATTCTTTATGTAATATCCTGGGCCCCAGCTTGGCGGTTTTTAATAGGGCAAGAGACTGTTGTCAGCAAGCGGATGGAGATATGACGTAAAGATAAAAGCTAGTCGAGTGATGTATATACGTGGCTTTTAACATACGATTCAGCAATGTTATTTTTATTACTATACCAGGTTGAAGAAAATGTAAAATTTCTGTACGCCCTGAAAAAGATTCCCCATTTCATATTGTTTATTCTTATTACATGTATTCATATTGATGCAAATTATATACTTCACTATAGTTGACATGTACATAGCCAGACATGTACTGAAAAGGTGTTATTTCCGTTTTTCTTCCATTTGAAAATTTGAAATTCGCTTCGCACCCGAATAACTCAGCCCCCCGGCATGGTCGCTTCGTTCTCTCAATTGCCCCCCCCCCACTTTGAAAACCGTGGCGCCGCCCCTGTAGTATAATGAAGTTTCCTTAAATACCGACAAATAAACCAAACTCATAGACTCTCAATATTTTTAAATATATTTATTTCCCGCTCAAAATATACAATTGCAATTCGAATGCATCGTGGAATTAGAAATGTACTGTTCACGAGAAAGGGGATCGACTTTAAATAACACATCAATAGTTGTCTTTGACAATAATTATTGAGACTCTATCTATCGTATATACTTTTTATTCCAATAATAACAAAATCGCATTTTTAAACAATAATTATCCATTATATCTTCAGGAATGCAATAGAAATCGATAGAAAAATGCATTTTGTTGATAATTCGTTCAAAATCAGCAAGTGAGAGCTTGAACACGAGACGCTTGCTATTTCCCGAGGTGATGCAACGGATAATATGATATCGATATCTCTATATCTATAATCAATCAATCATTAGCTTTGATGCTCACTTGATCGAGTGCTACGTTATAGAAATGTCATTCGCACGCGGAATTTGATTATGGAACAAGGATTTTCATACATATTCATTACTATACGTGCATAAGTTTTAATACGTGATGAACGCATAACCATTCCATTGGCCACGTTGTTGCGTTTTAAGCGTGTGCGATTTGTAATGACATCCTGTGTGTCAACACCCGGTATACTATTACGCTCTGTTTAAAATGACTACTTATTAGTTATTCACGTCAGGGAGTTTGAATACTCTAGTGATCGCTTCGTCTTCTGGTAGCGGTTAACTGATCTTATCTGCAGGGAATTGCGTTATGGTAGGGTGTTATTGTACTAAGAGATGGCGTAGCTAGCTGTTCCATTAGATACGAGGGAGGTTTTCGCCATGTGTGATTTTGTTGCGGTTTTGTGCGTGTGGTACTATACCGGCTTTAGGCAATTCGGTGTTATTTAATTGGTCGTATTTAAGCAACCAAAGCGAACACTTACCTGTATAAAAAAAATAAGCAAGTTCAGACACCTATATATTATGTACAATGACAGTATTCAACTGCATACACCCTTTTAAACGCAGAGAAATGAATATGGCCCACTAATCGATATCTCTACCGTAAAAGCGGCCTTGTGCATTTCAAACTTCACATTGTAAATCATTGCTATTTACAAGTGTGATAGCGTCTGACATTTTAAAACGACAATATCGCGATTTCAAAAATTGACATAATATAGATAACGAAATACAGAGCACCGTTACACCAGCACATATCACAGTGTCGTCAACCGCTGGCGAATGTAAACATAGTCCATATTTCTCTTCTAAATAGTGACGAGTGTCACGCATACACTCTGTATTTGTGCATATCTATAATAGACAAGTTATTCGACTCGCATCTTGTGTTCGAACGCGCCTTGCCGGTCAACTCGGATATATAATCATATATAAAAATTTATATACATATATAATTCGATTTATAAAAAAATTAACTCTGATGAAGGTGATTGTTATCGATCGAACGCGATGCATGTAGTCACTGTATACGCCTGCCTAGCATACTAATTATGGCGGCACACACAAGCGGCGTCGCTACGATTTTGATAAACCCGATTGAAGGCGCCGCTTGACTCGCTAGGCAATTTCGCTTCGCTCTGTTTGATCAGACCTCGCATTCCGAATTACGACAGCGCCGTTCTATTCGGTAAAGGTTTCCTACATTATTAACGAGTGACTGATGTAATTCGCAAGTGAGAAGTTCCCATACTGATTTGATATATATATATATATGCATATATATATGCGTTTAAGTTTGGAAATTGAGTTCAGGATCACGAATTCATGTGCCGAGATAATTGCACGTTCAATGCCACGTTAATTAATGCGTATATTGATGCAAAATTATGCGCCATCATGCTGGTCGTACTGTCGGTTCGTAGCGCAGACTACCTCTCGCTGATCACGCATGTAAATATATTTCGCATCACCGCCAAACAGCTTTCGAAGAATTTCGATAATCGAGCGTAAACGTGGGTGACACGGGAAAGCACTCGTGGTCGTCAAGGCCATGATAATGTCATATCATTGTATATACACGGTCGCGTAGACCACGCCCCGCGCGGTGAGCCCTTGAAACAATCAACACGAACGATATACAAAATATAATCTTCTAAATACAAAGGGAACCTTCTCCCTCTTTCGTGATTGGCCAATTTTTATCTTGTCTTTTCTTGGAAGGATAAAGGGTTTCATGGCACATTCTTCAATCAACCGACATTTACGGTTGCTGAAGTATTAAAAGAACGCGTGCACGCCCTATTTCATCAAGCCCACATCAGAGCGTGCACTAGAGATTTTCGCTCCGCTTACGAGAACTGCACTCCTCGTGTCCCTTTATCCGATAGCCACTGTGTTTCTACGCCTGCGCCGCAGCCGAGCAGGGTTGGTTGTAGACGTTGACGTCATCTATCTGGATTGTTCCATCGCCGATCTCCTCTCCAGTCGTGTACATGGCGAAGCCAACCTTGATCGTAAGGAGGGAGTTAAGGTGGAGTGCACATGTGCATGCCCTGCACATTTCATAGGGCAGCTAACAAGATTGGCGAATTGGCGAAAGAAAGAGAGAGAGAGAGAGAGAGAGAGAGAGAGAGAGAGAGAGATATGCTCGTATATGCGTAAGAGTGTGTATTTTTGCTATCAATCAGCTTACCTTGTAATCATAGAATGCATGTATAGGCAGTCGAACTGTGGTCCAGTCCGGGTTCGTCTCCTCGTTAGCCTGTATGAGCAAGATCTGGTCGGCCTGCGGTAGGCTGTCCTGTTGTAGCATTACCCTCATCGCGCGTGATCCCTGCGTGCGATTATAAAAACGTAATCAGCCCCAATAAATACTGTAATAATACCCCGAAATGCTGAAATAATTCACCCTATGACCATATTATTTGCAGGATGGCGGTAATTATAGGGCAGTGACGTGGGACTAGTGAATCTAAGTGATCTTCGCCGAAAAATAAATGCTATTGTACCGCCAAAGGCGTTGGTTCTGTAATTTGGATGTCTTCGTTCGGGGAACGACGTGAAAAAAACTCGTTCCCCATAATATACATTAGCATCAAAAAGATGTGACGTCATTCTAGACATATGCGAGCGGTCTAATTCCGTGCGGCATTCAAATTTTCGCATTTGAAAGTAGTGAAATAAATTGCACTGACCATGAACCGAAATTTTGAAGTGTCTGATATTACGATTACTCTGTATTCTCCGACAGAACAAACATTATATCAGGTAATTGACTGTAGACGACACCTGACGCTAATTTAGCACTTGGATTTGTACAAATTTCGGCGTAATGTGAATCATAGCGCGAACGGAGCTGTGCGCATTAAATCTACTTTCGGAAACACGAAGAGATCGCAGTCTCTTTGTACTCCAACATCGCGCATGCGCACGACGATGAGCAGCTGGGATATGTCATGTGTATCCAGTTGCTGATCAGCGATGACAGTGTGACTCGTTCTATCTAATATATATATATATTTATATACGCTCGTACATATGCATATTTCAGCTGAGTTTGGGTTCATCGTCCTGATAGCGCGTGAATATCACTAAGCATTGCAGAGGTGTAACTTTCAAACGGCGTGTAAAACAAGCGCAGTGGAAACGGTACCGGTTTGATGTTAACCGAACAAACACGCGCACGACGATCGGCAAAACGCTTGAGCAGCTATGGATAAATGATATCGGCGGACATGGTTACACAGTGTCGTAATTAGAAGCAGTATGTGAAGACCTGCCCCCCCCCCGCCCGCCGCCGCCGCCGCCGCGATGTCAGCACGTACACCCCCCACACACACGCACGCGCGCGCATATACCTATCGTACATACATCACACGTGATGGCATCTTGCTCTCTCCGCCATCTCTCTCTCTCTCTCTCTCTCTCTCTCTCTCTCTCTCTTTCTCTCTCTTCTCTCTCTCTCTCTCTCTCTCTCTCTTTCTCTCTCTCGTGTCTCCTCCATCTCTCCATCTTTCGCGCGTTCTCTCCTCCTTTCTCTTTCTCTCTTGCTCTTCCTGTCTTTTTGTCTGTCTGTCTGTCTGTCTGTCTGTCTGTCTGTCTGTCTGTCTGTCTGTCTGTCTGTGCGTCTCTATATCTCTCTCCCTCTCTCCTTCTCTCCCTGTTCCCCCGTCGTCTCTCTCCGTCTCTATCTATCTATTTATCTATCTATCTATCTATCTATCTATCTATCTATCTATCTATCTATCTATCTATTTATCTATATATCTATCTTTTTTTCTTTCTATCTATCTATCTACCTATCTATCTATCCATCCATCCAGAGAGACATGATACAAGATTGCGTGGCACAGCTTTGCTGTTGCTCCTGAGCGCTGCGCGCGGATGAGACGCGCAGTTCCGCGGGATATGCGCACGCGACCGCGGGGATGTTCAAGTATGAATTAAGCGCTGTCCGCAGTGGAGATCGACGTGCGCCAAATTCGAGGCTCGGCGCACGTCTCCACAGCGGTCAGCGGATGGTCTGTAGTTTTAGAAGATAACAATGAAGACTTTGTTCTAAATAAGAACTATCGGCGGCTAAATAAGAGCAATTTATACACTTTTGAATTTCTTGACTAGCCAGTCAAAGGGCTTGATGGGGGTCCATTATGCAGAGCTTCCAATTGAAATGGCCCATGAAATTGTCAAGTGGAATTGTGTTTTTCGGAACCCCAACGAAAATGTCTCCCTCTTACATGCACCCCTCCCTGATCAATCACGCATTAAGGCGTAAACAATAACAGATATGAAATTGTGTTGAGTTTGTGGCTCTTGACGCACGTGCATTGACGTGCTGGACTGTTGAAAGCACAGGCACTTGGAACGTCTCAATAAAAATAAATATTCACACAATTTTTCACAATGATCGATTGACCGCCTGTGTGCAATATAGGTGAACGTATGTGAAACATATACAGTTAGTACTTACTGTGACATATCGGTGACTAACTGACACCACTAAATTGGTAAAATGTTCCATGCACCTTGAGAAATTCTGAGAAATTACGAGGTTATCATCGCAGAACTCCCCAATACCGCTCATCCTCATGTCACAAAGCTATATGTAAACAAACACGCGTGTTGCGAGGTGCCTGCCTCCGATATCCATTTCGAGGCCCGCTAAGCCAAGCATAAAGCGCGCGGGCAAGACGTCACACACACAGCTACGTTCATTGGCTAAAACAATCGAGTAGCGCGGTTAGGGATTTTCGGAATTATTTAATTTTAAGAAAAACTTCAATGTTCAATGAATGAAGCACTTGTTTACTTCCGAAAACGGGTAAAAATGCATCTATCCATCCATCCATCCATCCATCCATCCATCCATCCATCCATCCATCCATCCATCCATCCATTCATCCATCC